TGATTCTCATATTCGACAAGCACTCGTGAATACAGAGGGTGAAATAAAAATATAACAGCAATTTTTCCCTCGAATTTAACAATTTTCATATTCCTCTCGTTTTAACCATTACAAAAATTCGAAGAATAAAATTCGAATCGGTTTCACGATACATATATTTAAGAAGAGTGAAAGCTGGTTAGGTTAGGTTAGGTTTAGAGTTCCCGGAGCACTACCCACAGAGCGGCGAGGATGGCCACCGTGGGGGTTTTAGTGTGTAGAAATCTTACATAACCCCGTCTCCTCCCCTAAGGGACGGGGTATCATTCGAAGATTTCCCCCACATAAAAGAAAAAAAAGAAAGAAAAAGGTTAGGTTAAGTTAGGTTAGGTTCGTCCTGGCAATTGCGTGGGCTCGTGAAGTCCAGGGCGCTCCACTGTCGCGGTATGGTGGTAATAGTGGGGTGGGGGGTTAAAATCCCACATAACCTCACCCCTTCTCCGAGGGGGTCGGGCATCTTTCTATGATTTCCCCCACGTAAAAAAAAAAAGATTAAGTTAGGTTAGGTTATTGAGAATATGCAAATGAGTAGCCAGTAATTCGCCTAAGGGTGTAGGTATTAAAAATGCTGTTATATAGTTCCGGTCAAGGCTTCGCGTGTATCGTGACAACCATAAACGCGATTACCACGACTGCCGATCCTGGGTTGCCCTAACGACTCGGCCATAATCGCGAATCGTGACACCGCGCAATAATTCGCGCCAACGATTAGGCGAAAAATTACGCGAGGCTACCGTTCGAGGGGAATTTCACGGTGGCGAGAATTCCGTGTCCCTTTGATCGCGGGGTTTCCACTAATTTCGACGTAATTACCCCGCGAGAACAGAGGGTGGCGAGTGGATAATTTACCAGTGGGGCTGTTTGTTTTTTCAGCGTCGGAGGAAGCTCGCCACGGCGCCGGCTCACGAGATCCACTCGAAATTAATTGCTCAAGGTAGCGCTTAAAGTCTTAACCACTCCGCCTGCCTTGGAACACTTTGTTAATCCGCCATTAATCTACGTGGGACGCGTGCCGGAATTCCAAATAAATTCACGTGGCTCGCGTCGAACCGGCCCCATGTTCTGTTTGTCCCCCCCGGCTCGCAATTCCAGTAATTCCGGAATTAATCCTGCACGCGGCCGTTTCTTTGAGTTACACCCTTACGTGACCAAATTGGGCATCGTTGGATCTTTTAATGAGAGAGATGGCTAAAACATCCCTTTCTTCGGGTTAAAATTGGTTCCAGTATAGGTGGGCATGGGAGTATTAATTTTAATAAAGAAGAAAATTCTTTTGGATAGATCTTATATGACATTAACCTCCCAAAAATTTGTGGAAACGAGTAATGTGATATATATAGTAAGAAGAACATTGCAAGATCACATAATTAAAATTAGAAAATAATTCGACGATGGATAAGGGATATATAAAGGGTGGCCCAAAATTCAGGCAAGAAGTAATTTTAATAGAAAACGAACAAATGTTCCTTATTTTTAAATATTATTTAATAATAATGACCCATTATTTATTCAAGCAATACTCCATTTTTAGTAACCCTGAACTGTCAACTGTCACACAGTCTTATCTTTTTTATATTGGCAACGCTTTACCACGCAAATGGCGCAACGTTTATCGGAGATACGAGCCGTGGTGGCGCTAGTGAGTTAAATGCAACGTCGCCTTAGGACTGACGAAACGCTTCCTAGTGAAAGACGAAAGTAAATACTTTATACCTCGATATCTCAGTGGTTAAAAAGATAGGTTAATTATGTTAGTCACGTTAATTAAAAATTACTATAAAAAATAATGAAGAACACGATATTGTAGTATCGCAGGATTTGCACCTCGTGTATAGGTAACTTTAGCTTAGAAAGTCACCGAGAAGTGGTTATTGAGCAGTGATTGGAAGAGAGTTCTTGAGAGACAGTTCTTTAGAGGAGTTCTTAGTTGTGTTTTAGTTGTGAGCCATTAGTTGTAACAGGCTAAATTATCATTAAGTCGTTGAATTGTGTGTACCCACATATTGTTAACTTATTATTATTAATTAATAAATAGTTCTATTATTTACCACATATCCCGAGTCTCTATAATATGGCTATAAATGGTAGGTAGACTGGAAAAGTTTAACTGCGTTTATACTATAATTTATCGTGACGTCAATCGCGTTGCCCGGCCAATTAAACAAGATGGCCGCTGGTCCAGTTCGGAAGGCGTTCCGTGTGATTGAATTAGCGAAATCAAATCCCGTTCGGGGTTAATTATACCATCGTATTAATATCGCACGTGTAACAGAGCTTGTCGATACACATATTCGAATCTATAATTTGAATCTGCAATTCGTATAATAATTATAAATTATCAATTCACTTCGGATAACTTGGAACTTGCGTTCCGACGTTCTCCACGGCGAGATTAGTATTCCATGCCGAAACGGACCAGGCAGGACATTTAGGGAAAAGGATAATAGAAATTTGTCGGGCCGTTCTGGAAACTTTATTGGTCACGCGAGAAGTTAGCAATTCGGAACGTGGAAACTTCTCCTCCTTCGTTCCTCTCTTTTGTCTGTAAAATAAATATATTTCTCGTGACCGCGTTAACTTTTTCGTTTCGCGGAGCGGAAGTTGGCGGAGGGCTGAACACGTTTCGCTCCTCTCCAACTTAAATACCTCGACCTACGTATACCCTCGAAAACTGCTCTGTTTGAGCACCCTCGGTGCTCAGTCAGCGTCAACGGCACTCGTCAGAAATTCATTACGTCGATTTAGCATTAGAACTCCATTGTGCCGACGCCATTGCTCGCAACCGCGCTTCAAATACTCCGATACTTCCGCGAGAGTAATTTCCAAAGAATTATCTAAACATCTTATCCATCTTTTCCTAGTTCTCGTGTTCCGAAGAACACAACTAGCCCTGAAGAATCTCTGGCTTTACCGTGTTCCTCTTCGACACCCTATATGTCACTCCTACCATCTGTCACTGGTCAGAAAGTTACTTGAAGTTGTCAAAGGAGTCTTCCATTTTGAAATGACAGTTACGAAGAGAGTTACTGGATTCGTCCCAGTCTCTGTCATCTATTCAGGACAGACCTGTTCCTAAGATTGTCATACGAACGTGGATGTTCATTACTTTCAAGGACTGTCAATTTTAATCATTTCGCATGCATGCTCTCGAGACCAAAAACTTAACAACAATTTGAGGTTATGACAGGCAGGCACGCATAGTGACTTTAGAGTTATGGAATATCGTGTGCAAACTTCAGATCTCTGAACTGGTAGTCGTAATTAGCCAGGATTCGCTCACGGAAGAAATAAATATGAAAATTAGGTTCATTTAATTGGCAAAGAATATATCTCATAAGACAACGAAGGTCTTTCATTTCTAAATGGGATCCAAGCAGAGACCTAGTCGACTTTCCAAAGCCTCTTGACACCAGTCTGCCAATGAACTTTCCCTGTTCAACCTCATCGGAATCGTTCCCAAGGTCGATAAAAGTCCTCCATTTTGAAACAGGATCTATACAGACACCCAATCGACCTATCCTAACTTCTACACACACACACACCTAACTCGGAATAATTTTATATTTGACATCAGATATTGTTCGTTATAATAACACACAACTGCTTACTCAACACCCCAAATAGTGTCATTTTCAGTATCTTGCCTGCTAGCGAGCAGGAACAGAGTTCAGATCCATCCACGACCCTTCCACTTGGAGACACTACTTACACAAAAGTCTGCCAGCACGAGCAAGAGAAAAATAATTATAAAAGTGACGATGGGGTAGGAAGGATCGAGGGTGAAGGCACACTCGAGGACCGACGCGAATCCCTAGACCGTTACGACGGACCAGCGTGGAGTTTCAAAAGTAAGCAAGGTTCACGGCCGTTTATTTCGTTAATGACGACCGGCCGTTGTGGATTAATGAGGACGCGGCCCGTCACGGCGTCGGGATGCTCTTCTCCTCGTCGAATATCGACGAGAACGACCGAGATTCCCCGGCGAGTAGATGAAATATAAATTTCGACGCTCGAGGAGCTGGCACCGTCTATGCCTAGCTTGAAAATAGAGCTTGGGGTACCTTAGCTATGTTCCTTCTGTTCCCTGAGATACGTGTGTCCCAGAGAGAGTGATGTAGCGACCATCATTCTCACCCTCGCCACTAGGTGGATTCCGACTTCCTAGGTGGAACCTCTAAATCCTATGTATATATATAACTTCCCGTCCTTCCAATAGTATAAGGCAGGGTCTGCTAATTTTTGCAATTTTTCGTAATAATAATAAAATAAATTTTAATTTTTTGTAATTTTCGTAATTTTTCAGATTCCTCATAATTACTAGTAATGTATAATATAATTTGTAAATAAATAAAAACACATGTATACCACATCTACCTCCTCTTCCCTCTTCCTCCTTTCTTCCTATTTATTTAATTATTTATTTTATTTACCTATTTATTTATTTATTTATTTATCCTTCCCTTTATCCACTCAAAACCAAAAGCTGTATAATTTTCGTGCCTTTTCTATACATAGGTAAACCTGCATGCTAATATGAGATAGTTCTTAAGTTTATATTACCCTGTAGCAATAAGCGCGGTAAATTAAGTTTGATTCTAGATCGCGAGTGCTTCAACGCTGGAGCCATCGATCTCATAGTCTAAGTTTTCATTTGTAACCCTTTGTACGTTTTAGTTCTTTTATATGTATATTATTGTATCTAGTTTATGGCGCATTAAACGTACGTTAAATTGGAAAAATTGGGATTGGCCTGCTAGAAGAAGGCCTTAGTGACGAGTTCGCTAGCAGGCCCGGGGGATGAAACGCATCCCTTCCATTTCCTTTCGTGCTTTCCAGCTACGCCGCCACAGAGGTATACCTGCGACCAGCTGACTTCGAAAACACCGTGGGGGAGGACCTCCCACAGTGAAAATTGTAAATTGTAGGATTTTTCGAAAGATAAGATCAGTGGAGTGACTCACCTTCTTCAAGTCTTTGCTGGCGTCCGCTTCCTCCGCCTTCCGCTTCGCGGAGATCTTCTGCGTCGGGACGGCGATCGCCGCTTCCCGCAGGGGCTTCAGATCGACCTGAAACGGCAAGCAAACGCTCCAGGTTAGTCAAACAGAAGACTTAGGTGAAACGAGATTATGTTGCACGTCGACTTAAACTGCTAAGTACCGTGCAGAGATGACTCGCTGTCTACCTGATTGGCTTAATAGCGTCGTGTCTATACTCTTCTCATTATTGGCAGACGATTGGATTAGATCGGTGTAACAGTATGACAGCACGAGAAGCGCAGTAAAAAGAAAATTGCAGGATTACATGCTCGAATGAAAGTTGCGAATGATTCAACGACACTTGCGAACTTTGCGATGTTATCGGAGTTACGGGTCGTGGTGGCGCTAGTGAGTTAAGTGGAAAATCCTCTTAAGGCTGCCTGTCACGTCAGAACGAGTCATCTCTGAGGTATATATCGTCGTGTATCGTACAATATACTCGTATATGGATTAAAACGGTTCTGATTTAAGTATTCCAGGGAATTATTTGGGTCACATTACCGAACTTGGTTTGTATTTGGTTATAGCGTGCGGAAGTTACAGGGATTCGGGTAGTTGCTGCATTTGTGATAAGAACGAGTTAACGTTATAGTTGCAGAGCAGAGTTGACACTTGTTATAATGAAATTATACCGAAGCCGAGATGTCTGGGGTGGATATGCAAATTGGGGATGCCGGAGCTGGGAATTGGTGCAGGATCTTCCTCTTTCGTGCATTAACAGGGTCAAAGAGGAATAGATTGATCGACAGGGCAAGACTGACGCCTCATATAACATAATCCACATAGAAACCCATGTTTGTTACATGATTCATAAAAAGGGATAGAACTAAATCTGTTCTATCCAAAAATTTTCGTTTAACGCGAGTGTAAAGCGTAAATCATTCGTTATACTACTCGATGACGCAATTCAGTCTGACATATCGCCATTTATCGTGCAAGCGAGACATCTTTGAACATTTTTGCACATCTGGAACGTGGGAAATTTCGTGCAAATGACTGGCCCAAATGTTAAAGGGGACCAGGGGAGCATGGGGCAAGAACAAGACCGTAATCGCGTTAACTGGCACAGGCGCGTGTCATCGGTCAACACGTCGGCTGCATTTTCACCGATTCGATCATTAGGCTCTGGTTGAATTACCGACCGCTAAACCGACTCTGCTCTCTCTATTTGACCGCGTCGTTAACGAGAAATTAGCGTGCGCGGCAGCAGGCCTAAAGTAGGGACGAGTTGAGGCTATTAGCATAAATCGATGCGTCCGGAACCTTCGGCCGTGGCCGGGTTTGGCACGCACAATGCCCGATCGTGTCTCGAGAATCGTCGCTGAACCGAGATACTATTCGCTTGAAAGGGTTCCTGTGTACACAGATTACCGTGCGTTCAACGGTCTGCTAAGAATTGACGGGGACCCCGTTGGAAGGATGGCACGATTGGCAGGGGACAGCGGGAAAGCTAGCCAATTTAATATCCCGCTGTCATTCAAATTGCTCGCAGAGTTTAATACGTATTGAAAATATACAAAACGATACGATTACTACAAGAATTTGAATACAAGAGATCGAAAGGGGGAAGAAAATGGTACCAATGTAACAGATGACACTTAAGAGCACAATGACATTATATGACGCGAGTCTGTCAAACGAGGAAACTTACTTATGCTAGAAAGTATACAAAATAATACGATTATTACAAGAATATGAATACGAGAGATTGAAAGGTGGAAGAAAATGGTACCAATATATGATAATAAGTGACACTTAAGAGCACAATGACATTTTATGACGCGAGTCTGTCAACTTATTTATGCTACAAAATTGTATTTATAGAAGTCGAAGACTCGCGAAAAACCACGAATCTCGACGATCGTTGAAGACAGATTGACAGGAGTCAAAGACGGTCCCCGATGGGCCCCGAGAACGGACCCCGATCGGGGTTAGACGAGATGGAGACGCAACGTGGTGCCACGGAGACTGTTCCAAGCTTGCCTTCGTGGAAATGGAGTTATGGAATCGGTTATTGGCTATTTTCTAATGACCGGTTATCGAACGTGATTATGGAAATTACCAATGCCTCGAGAGCCCTGATAGGCTGGTCGCCCCGCCCTCCAATTACTTTAAGTATACGCGCAGGTTGAGGCGAAATAGAAACAGGCAGGGATAAAAATTCACATGAGCGGAACGCATTTGATGCTGATTCTGTTCACTGTTCCTTGTTAACTCACGAGATGTCTCGTAGCTTGCGCTGCGAGATTAAATTGATTGCAATTTGTCACGGAATATGTTTATAGCTGCTTGAGCTAGGAATGAATAGAAAGGAGATCATTTTTATTTTTACATTACTGTAAATGACATTTTAGTGCTGCAAATTAGACCAAATATTATTAGAGTTTGCCAAGTTCCATGTTCTCTTTAGAATAAAATCTTGACACCGAGGGTAAGGTGTTTTAAATTTGTTTGACAGGGCATGGGTTCATCTTGGTTCGACGGGTGGACACTGGGAATGAAAGGAGAACGAATGTGCCAGTTCTTTGTATCATGGGGCTGATCGATTAGGTTAACTATTCACCTAAGATCGTGTCTGTCAAACATCCAGGGCTTAATCTATAGGCTAACTAATTATGGGTACAGATACCTGGTATTCAATACCTAGAGTGTGCCAACTATAGTCATCCAATGTTTGTGACGTACCAAGAACTGTGGATAAAGACACCTAATATTTAATAACTAGCGTGTGCCAACTATAGTTACCCAATGTTTGCAACGCTCAGTGACGTACCAAGTGGTGATTTTAATAATCTGTCAAAAAATTGTATAATCACTCTTTGAGTGGAACTTTGGCAGTACATCTGCATTTAGATTCTTTTATAGCATGATAACACATGATAGCACATCCACAATTCCAATCTTCCATCGTTAAATAACCATCATAAACCTAATCAGTGTAAAGACCTGTCTACTTCAGGTCAAAAGACATTTGCTCCACAAAAGAGGATAGGTATTCTTACATCATGCAGTTGGATTGCACCTATCATCGAATTATGTCCAACTATGATGCACAGAACTCAGATAGATAGATCTCGAAGGTGAACATGATCACCGTCTCAGGATCTACCTAGTTTATGTCAAGAGGCGTTCATTATACACAACTAGGCTGGTATTCTTGCACCATCTAAATGGGTTTTACCTTCTGATACCTTCTTTCATCGAATTACGTCCAATTATGACATAAAAGACTTGGATATTTAAATCTCGAAAAGGAATATGAACAACGTCTCAGGGCCTATCTAACTTATGTCAAGAGACGTTCATGCTACGAAAGTAGACGAGTATTCTACCACCACCCTGTTGGATTTCATCCTACGATTCGTTTTCTCTGCGACCCAAGTGAGGAATGCAAAGGACTCGAGCATCTCCAGGAAAAACACGACCCTTCCGTGGCCGACCCAGCGATTTAATCGGCGATCGCGCAGCAAAGGCGTGGTCCACGTAACTAATTTACGATGCAGACCTCTTTTAAGAAGTTCCAGCGCTCGCGAGTGGCGTAATTAGGTGTCGAAGTTTTAATGGTGCGTTAAGGTTCCTCTCGGACGAGTGGAAGCACCGGAACACCCCCTGGCAGCGGCGCTCCACCCTCCGCCCGAAAAGATTAATGGATCGCAGATTTTACGGGCATCGGGCGCCCTGCCGGCAAGATTAAGCGCTGCAAATTAACTCGAATATTAAACGAAGGAAAAGTGCGATTTCATTATTAGCCAGGTCAGCCTCGATCGCAGGCGAATCTCGCCGATCCCTCCACCCGCTGCCAATTAAACGCGTTCGGGCATTAAGCGATCGCGATCGCGGAGTTTCTTCCAGACTATCGGACGAATTTCACGCATCGGCGATTCAAGTTCGAGCTAAGATTCGAAAATTCCGCGAGAATTCTTCCCTCGTTTATTTCCCCTCGACTTATTATTAGCCCGCGCCGGATTATTAAATCTTGGACCACGGGTGGCTGTCAAAAGAGTATTCCGACAAGGTAACGAGAGACAGGCGATGGGGACGTAGGGATATCGAATTAGCAAAGGAAAAGGTGTTAGATTCTAAAATATATTTGTGATATGGGTGATTGGCAGCGGATTGTTAAATCTTGGACCACGGGTGGCTGTCAAGAGAGTAATTCTGACAAGGTTACGAGAGACAGGCGATGGGGACGTAGGGATATCGAATTAGCAAAGGAAAAGGTGTTAGATTCTAAAATATATTTGTGATATGGGTGATTGGCAGCGGATTGTTAAATCTTGGACCTCGGGTGGTTGTCAAAAGAGTATTCCGACAAGGTAACGAGAGAAAGGCGATGGGGACGTAGGAATATCGAATTAGCAAAGAAAAAGGCGCTAGATTCTAAAATATATTTGTGATATGGGTGATTGACAGCGGATTATTAAATCTTGGACCACGGGTGGCTGTCAAGAGAGTAATTCTGACAAGGTTACGAGAGACAGGCGATGGGGACGTAGGGATATCGAATTAGCAATGGAAAAGGCGCTAGATTCCAAAATATATTTGTGATATGTGTGATTGACAGTGGATTGTTAAATCTTGGACCACGTGTGGCTGTCAAGAGAGTAATTCTGACAAAGTTACGACACACGTGATGTAGACGTAGAGGCTAGATCAAATTAGCAAAGAAAAAGGCGCTAGATTCTAAAATATATTTGTGATATGGGTGATTGGCAGCGGATTGTTAAATCTTGGACCACGGGTGGCTGTCAAAGGAGTATTCCGACAAGGTAACGAGAGACAGGCGATAGGGAAGTAAGGATGTCGAATTAGCAAAGAAAAAGGCGCTAGATTCCAAAATATATTTGTGATATGGGTGATTGACAGTGAATTATTAAATCTTGGACCACGGGTGGCTGTCAAAGGAGTATTCCGACAAGGTAACGAGAGACAGGCGATAGGGAAGTAAGGATGTCGAATTAGCAAAGAAAAAGGCGCTAGATTCTAAAATATATTTGTGATATGGGTGATTGGCAGCGGATTGTTAAATCTTGGACCACGGGTGGCTGTCAAGAGAGTAATTCTGACAAGGTTACGACACACGTGATATGAACGCAGGGACTAGATCGAATTAGCAAAGGAAAAGGTGTTAGATTCTAAAACATATTTGTGACATGGGTGACTGTCAACGTGAATGACGAGATATGAGAGAGAGATAGAGATAGAGAGATAGAGATATAAGATTGGCAAAGAAAAAGGTATTTGACCCTAAAATATATTTATGACAAGGGTGATTGTCAACGAATTATTAAATCTAGGACCACGGATAGCCACCAGAAGAGTAATTCCGACTCTGTAACGCATCACAGGATGGGAATGTAGGGAATCGATCAAATTAGTAAAGAAAAAGGAGTTAGATTCTAAAATATATTTGTGACATGGGCAATTGTCAACGCGATTGACGAGATGTGGGAGGGAGATAGAGATAGAGAGATAGAGATGTGAGATTAGCAATAAAAATGGTGTTAGATTCTAAAATACATTTGCGATATGGGTAAGTAGACCTAGTGATTGTCAAAGTGCAATTGATGAGTACTTGGAATAGTGCAATAAACTATGAGTGGTGCAAGAAAAACAAATGAGTTCCCAGTATGCACGTGGAATTTTTGGACGCTTTTCCTACGTGGAGTGTGTAGTACAAGCGTGTGGTATGCATGGATATACCAAAGGGATGTCAAAGAATTATTTCAAAAGTGTCAGAAGTACGACTCTTCTTCCACTGTTGTTCCGAATCACTGCACGACTCCATAAATATCTTTGCCTCGTAGATCAGTCACTTTTTCACTCTCTCTCTCACATACACACAGTACATACTACACATACACATCCCAAAAATCCCACGTATATTCCAAGAACTCGTTCATCTTCATCGCATCATCGATAATTGTTCAAATCTGTTCGTCGTTCTCATAGACATCCATCCTAGATATTCGTGCTACTACAAAGACGAATAGGAGTGGGAGAAAAAATGAAAAAAAATGGAAGCGACAAGTTTATCATAGAATTCACAATTGGAGGACACGTGGTTTCGTCGGAATGCATTTTTAAATGCTCAATCCCGGGCTTTCATAAATTCATGGGTCCCCGCGAGCTCTCCGTCAGAGGAGAACCTCTTCGTAATCACGGTGTTCATAATTAAACGCATAATTTCGAGAATCGTGACACGGGATGGAAGATTTGGAAGACTGGGAAAGGAATGCATCTCCTTAGACCATGGATATTAATCGATTAAACGCGACAGAGTGACAGGTATCGATAATTAGCTCGATTGACACCGTGTAGGGTACGAAATTTCGAGACGACAAGAAGGGGATGATATAATTTCCGGAAACATTTTATAATCGATTCTGTAAGCTACGTCTATACGCTGGTGTATAAATAGAAACGTGGATCCAAGTTCAGGGAAAGTTAGTTTATTTTATCAACTTCCGTCTTGAGCAAAGAGAGAACCACTTCGTTCCTCATACTCGGGACGATCGATGTGGACGATGAATCGTCCGTAAAGAACCACCAAACTCCATCACATCTACCTTCGTCAACTCGAAAATCCAATTTTCGAACACTCTGTCACCAAACAACCTCGAGAAAACCACATCCACGTAACGCAATCTGCTGTCACAGGAGATTGAACAGGCCTGATCCAAAACTCACAATTTGCACTGCAAATATGATCGCAATTTGGGGGTTGGAAGGTCCAGGTAAACACGGAACAGTCGAAATTAACCTGATCCAAAGCTCACAATTAGTACAACGACCTATGATAGTCATTGTGAACGGAAGATCCGAGTAAATCACTATTGACAGTCACTTGAACCTAATTCAAAAGTGAAAATTATTACAAAATCGCACAATCGTCAGCAGTAATCGAAAATTCAGGTAAACCTGTAACAATCGAAGTCGATCTAATCCAAAAGTCAAAATTAATATACAAACACACAATCGCTATCAGCAATCGAAGTTTCTGGAGAATCTAGAGCTGTCAAAATTAATACACAAATACACAATCGCTATTAGCAGTCGAAGGTTCAGGAGAATCTAGAGCTGTCAAAATTAATACACAAATACACAATCGCTATCAGCAATCGAAGTTTCTGGGGAATATAGAGCTGTCAAAATTAACACACAAACACACAATCGCTATCAGCAATTGAAGGTTCAGGAGAATCTAGAGCTGTCAAAATTAATACACAAATACACAATCGCTATCAGCAATCGAAGTTTCTGGGGAATATAGAGCTGTCAAAATTAATATACAAACGCACAATCGCTATCAGGAATCGAAGATTCAGGAGAATCTAGAGCTGTCAAAATTGACCTAATCCAAAGTTTCTCAATAAGTCCGATATAATCGCTATGGGGATCGAAGATCCAAGTGATCCTGAGCTCGAAGTCACCATGAGCAGTGAAAATCAACGATCGATGGACTCAACACGCTGGTGATTCGTCCTCTCACTGCGAATCAGGCTTTATGGTCGCTAGGGTCGCCCCTGACAACGCCTTGCCTGCATTGCGGTGCCCCTAGGTTCCCGACCTGCGTTATCCTGCCACTATGACAGCTGACAATGAACCAACCGTCGCTGCACCGAAATCGAAACGTGCATCCTTTATACTCCCATTCCCGTGCTTTCCCCTGCCTAACGATATCTGTGTTACATGGAAACCAGCCTTTAACCTTCGTCCGCCATTTTTCCACCCTCAGTACACCCCTTAAGATTCCTTCACCTACATAGCAAACCCACCGATTCTTCACCCTTTCTGTCAAACAAAAATATGTAATAAAACTGACAGACGAGGAAATTTAAAAAATGGC